TCTATAATTATATTTTATTAATTTTCATAAACATTTACAGAGATTTTGGGCTTCCACTCATTCATTGTTGCACTATTCTCTCTACCCTCCTCCCAGTTTGATCTTGTCCAAATGCCACAGTGCTTGTCAAAGCCAGTTCTGATTAATCTTATAGAAGGCAGTTCTATTCTGAAACATACAGGGCCATCAATAGTTATAACTAACTCAACAGTATTTGGTTGTTAAAGTAACAGGAAAACGGCACAGACCACTACAATGTGAATACCTGATGAGATCGACTTTATCAGGTAATCTAGGCTGTTTCTATCTCTTTTTTAAATCATTGGTTTTATGTGCCATCAAGGTGACTATGATTCATAGCAACCCTATCCACAAAAGCTCTAAACTCTATTCTATCCTAAGACAATCTCATTGCCTGACACACCTAATCTATTACACCAGCTACTGTGTCAATCCATTCCATCCAGGGTCTTCCTTCTCCTGTACTGTCCCTCTACCTTTCCAACATGGACTGGTCCCTCCTGGCAACAAGCTCAAAGTATGAGACAGAGACTCCAAGAAGCAGTTTGGCTTTACCCTCTCTAAGACAGAGTGTTTGTTCTCTTGGCGGGTCATGGCACGTTCAATGCTCTTCTCCAAGGGGAGCTCTGGTGGCCTAGTGGCAAGGAGCTGCAACTACAATCCCAGAGGCAAACGGTTCGAATCCACCAGATGCTCTGCCGGGGAAGAAGGGACAATCTCCTCCTGTACCAGTCAGATCTGATTTGACGGTACACGCACACAAAAATAATAAAATTAAATTAAATTAAAAAAAAATGTTCTTCTTCAGCACTGCAACTCAAAGCATCAATTCTTCTGTCATTTTTGGTGACTGTAAAGCACTCTGATGTATATTAAGTAATTGTGAAGACCATGGCCTGAATCAGATGCATTTTAGTCTCTATAATGACATTGTTGCTCTTTAACGCTTTGGAGAGGTAGGTCTCTGACAGCAGATTTTTCTAATGCAATTCATCTTTTGATATCCTGATTGCAGGGGCCAAGAGTGTTGATTGTGGAACCAAACAAGTTGAAATAGTTAACAATCTCAATCTCTTCTCCATCAATCATGGTGCTTCCAATTGGCCCAGGACACTTAAATCATTAGGTTTTCATTAATCAATCTTCAATCAAGTTCAAATTAATTTTACATTTCCTAAGCATCATTTCTGCTAATATCTTCTTTCCATCTCATCTCTCAATATTAAAAACCTTAAAACTATAATTCTGTTAAATAAATTAGCATCAAGCAAAAGAAAAATACATTTTTGAAACTGTGTCTCCAAGGACAGAACTGATAATTAGCAAGAACTCTTTATTTTCCTGGTTAAAATCAGGAAAGAAATGCATCATGGTCATTATTACCATGGCTCAACTCCATACCTAGTCAATCTGTATGCTGAAGAAATAATTTTATAAATTGAACTAGATAAAGAATGTGACATCAAGATTGGAAGACAACTCATTCACAATCTATTATATACAGATAACAGAACCTTACTTGCAGAAACTGAAGAGGACTTATTTCAACACCAAAAAACAAAACAAACAAAAAATCCTCATTACTGGACCAATAGGCAACACACTATCGATGTAGAAAAGGCAGAAGGTGTCATTTTGCTTGGATCCACTACCAACATCCCTGGTCAGATCAATCAAGAAATCCAAAAGAACAAACAAGTCTGTCTTCAAGTAAACATAACCTTAGAGGCAAGAATATGAAACTCTGTCCTGAATATTTGGGCATTTTATCAGGAGAGGCCAGTCCTTGGAAAAAAATATCAACCTGGGAAAGGTAGAGGGTAAGAGAAAGAAGACCTTCAACAAGACACCTTGACAGCGTGACTATATTTGCAGGCTGGAGCATATGCGAGACGGTGAAGATGATGCAGGAGGTGCAGTCACATTAGTGGCAACTAGCAACAATAACAATTATTTGTGAGGGAGCTCTACAGCTCTAGTGGTCTTGTAAGTGAGGAGCTGTGCTGACACCCAAAGACAGGTGGTTCAAATCTATCAACTGATCCTGAGGAAAAAGATGGGCAGTCTCCTATCGTGTGATTGTCTCTGAAAAGACGCTGGATGATCAGCCATGAGTTGAGTTTGTTCCAGTGTGACAGCAACATCATCTGTGGAAGAAATGTGTAAACTGACACCCTTATTTCAGCTCAACACTCTCACAAGTGCAATAAGAATGTCAGTGAGAGTCAACAATCAACCATTTCTAAGTATCTTAGATTATTAACTTTCAGAGATTAGCAAACTTTTTCTAGCAAGGGTCAGGTAGCATACTTTTGGGCTTTGTGGTCATAGATCTCTGCTGTTTAGTGGGAAAGCAAGCATAAACAACTTATAAATAAATGGGTGTGACTACTTTCCAACAAACTTTATGTGTAATCAGTTAGACTTCAGCCCACAAACTAGTTTGTCATCCTTAGTCGTCGTCTCTCATTTCCGTATAAAATTATTTTACAATTTCTCCTGAGTCCTCAAATCTCTAACACTACTCCTCTATTTTTACTCAATTTTTTTCAAGTTTATAAAAAAAACCAAAACAGACAACCAGAAAAAAATTTAGACAAGTTCTTGCCCTATCTATACATCTATCATAATTATTATGCATATTTTCTGACTTCTCTATTTTCATAACTGAAGTTTATGCTCATGGATCAAGTCAACACTTCCCTCAAAGAAAGTACATTTCTTACACATTCCCAGCAACACACATACAAATTAAAAATCTTTCCTGTTAAAGAAAATTATTTCCAAGGCCACAATTTCATTTCTTCTTCAGATTGTGCCCTATTTCTTTTTTTCCTCTCTCTTAATATGTGTTGTTGAACACTCAAGAAGGAATCACAGAAGATTCTGGGTTGAGTAGGAGGAAAATGTAGAATAAACTGAAAAACTTTTCAAAAGACCAGGGTAATTGGTTTTATAGAGGGTGGTGGTATGCCCAAGACTATGGCTCTTAGCCACTTTTTAAACCTGTGGGGACAAACTTTCCCAGTGGCTCAATTTCAGAGAAGCAGCAGATGGGTCTATTCTTTTAGTCCACCCTAGTACCTAACTGGGTTTAATACAGAGATAGTAGTTGCTCGGTAAATTGTTACAATTAAATTCTTGAATTGAATGGGTCTGCTCCATCAGCAGGAAAGTGAAAGGGACCATCTCCTTTCTTAGAGGATTCTCTGCTCCCTTTCAGGGTCCTCTCCCAGGGTATCACAGGGTGCTGGTGGGCCAGGTCTTGGGGCTGTAGGGACCCAAAGCTGGTACACAACAGTCTCCTTTGACCTGCCTCACACCTCTGGACCCACTGCTCTTTTACTCCCCTTTAGCAAAATATCTAGCCAAGTCTAAATTCACTGTTGTGCATAGGGTTTTGCACCCTATGCACAACAGAACACACGCAGACTTACAGAAAGGGCAACCTAGGCAGAACTATCAAGTATGGAAATGCAAAGGAGGAGGAACAGTTGTAAGCAGACCCTAGTGATTGGAACATGGAATGTGAGAACCATGAATGTAGGAAAATTAGAAATTGTTAA